ATGATTCGGCATACTCATTAATGTCAATGCAACTTTCAGGCAAAAGCAAAGGATCAAATTTGGGACAGGAAGGAACATCTTCCTTTCGGTTCTTCATAAATATCCACTTAGCCTAATAACATTTAAACAACCCGAAAAGGGGAAAAAAAAAACTCACGGTGGTAACTCTAGCACTCAGGAAACTAAGGCAAGAATTGAGACATCAAGCCCAGTCTTTGGCTACATATTGAGCCATGATCAGTCTGGTCTACACAATGAATTCCAGGACAGCCAGAGATATGCAGAGTCCCCTTTGCTGAAAAAAAAGGAGTGGAGGAAGATGGATGCATGGATGTATGGGTGTACTGTGGGAGCTACACACAAAAGCACAAATATTTCAGAAGCAAGTACGTTCACAGTACCAAGGAGTGACTTGGGAATCTGGAGCATTTCCACCTCTGCCCAGCACTACTTACAGAGTGACTGGTCTCCAGGAACTGGCTGTTACATAAATATAAACTATCAAGGAAGGACTTTATAACAACATCCGCTTTGGTGCCGTGAGACACTAATTCTCGGTTTCTTTAGATGGCTTCTCTTTTGTGTACATCCCAGCCGTCTACTATTGGTGAGGTGGGTCTTACATAAGTCTTAATAAGCTAACTGGTGGGGAGGGGAAAGACAGAGGCTCAGGTGTGCTAGGCAAGCACTCCGCCATCTGAACCGCATCCCCAGACTCCTCCTAGCTTCTGAAGAAGCTATTTCTGAAGTAGAACGAGATGTCCACAGGTACAGATGAGTGGTCACTCGTGAGGCACCTGTGAGGAAAGCAGTGTTATGCCATTTGAAATTAGGAACTTGAGGCATTTAGGATTCTCCTGAGCCACTATGTCTCCTCGCCTTGTGTATGTCTATGCAGATGTGTGTGTGTGATGTGCACACACAAGTATATGGAGGCCAGAGGGCAATCTTTCATGTGCCTTCTCCATAGACATATTCTTATTTGAGACAAGCTCCTACTGGCCTGTAACTAAACAAGTACACTCAGCTGCCCGCCAGCAGAAGCCAGTCTCTGCCTTCCTAACAATCCCTGTCCTTAACAGGGTTGCTCTGTGTAGCCCTGGCTGTCCCAGAACTTGCTTTATAGAGCAGGTGAGCCTTGAATTCAAGAGATATGCCTGCCTCTGCTCCACCACACCCAGCACCTGACACTTTTGTGTATGAGTGTTAGCCTTCGTCAATGTATGTGCACCACATACATTTGTGATACCCATGGAGGTCAGAAAAGGGCCCTGGAACTGGTGTTAGTCATGTTCTACCACGGTGGTGCTGGGAACTGAACCCAGGTCCATTGAAAGATCATTGCTCCAGCCCCAATCCACATTTTAAACTTGGGTTCTAGAGACTGAGCTCAGGTCTTAACGCTTCAACACTTAAAGGCTGAGCTGTCTCTCCCTCCTACAGTCTACTTTTGAGACAGGGTCTCACTGCCTCAGACTGATGTCCAATATGACAATCTACCTGCCTCAGCCTCCTGAGTATAATGATTGCATCCAGCTACCCCCAACTCTTTAAAATCAAGGAATGGGAAAGCTCATGTGTCATCACTCTTAAGTATGGTTGAGCCTTCATCTATAAGTAACAAATTTCTGCTCCTGCCATAGTATTGCTATTCAATAGCCTCCCAAGTTTTAACTAGATTGCTTCACAATAGAGGATGAATCACAAGAGTCTAGGATCCTCCTCTAATAAATTCTTGACAGAAAAACCACAAAAATAAGCCCTCTCAGCTCTGACTCTCTAACTTGACTCCTACCAAGGTAGTTTCCTAACGTGTCCCCCACTCCCGCTCTCCATTCCTGTGCATGCTAAGCAAGTGCACTGAACTACATTCCCCATTTTTTCTTTTTTGGTTTTTTGAGACAGGGTTTCTCTGTGTAGCCCTGGCTGTCCTGTACTTGATTTATAGACCAGGCTGGTCTCAAACTCAGTGATCAGCCTGCCTTTGCCTTCCCAGGTACTGGATTATAGGCGTGTGCCACCGTGCCCTGCTTTTTCTTTTCGTTTTGACTAATATTTGTAACCCTAGACTAAGACAAGTGGGCTGCCATGAATGAAACTTAAGACCACTGAAGTATAGGAAATGAGTTCTAGGCCATCCTGAACTACAGAGCAAGGCCATGCCTAAAAAAAAAGTTTGCATTTTGGATTAAGAATTCTACTGGGGACTAGATGTAGTTCAGTTGGTAGTATAATTGCCTAGAATGCACAAAGCTCTAAATTCAATCCTCAATACCACGTAAATTATGTATGACAGTACATTCTTGTAATTTCAGCAGGTTGATCATGAGTTCAAAGGTCACCTTGGCCAGGACTGAAGACAGTGGTATACAACTGACAACACTTGAAAGGCTCAAGCAGATGGCTCCAGGCCAGGGGCTAAACAGTGACAGCCTGTCTCAAAAGAGCACACAAACAACAACAATAAAAACCCAAACAGCCATTAGGAAAACAGCTAGATGGCTCATTAAGTAAAGTTACTTGCTGACAACGGGAGTTCCATCCCTGGGAACACAGGTGGTAGGAGAACAGGACTCTTAGGAATTCTGACCCGCACAAGTGTGCTTACAAAGAAAGTGAATAAATGACACTGGGTGTGGTGGTGCATGCCTATAATCCAAGGGTTTGGGAGGTGGAGGAAGTAAATTCGAAGCCAGCTTAAACTACACAAGTTCAGGGTCAGTCTGGACTATCTGAAACCCTGTCTCAAAGGAACAAGTGAGAAAACAAGCTCACACCAGTAATTCCAACACTCATATGTCTGAGGCAGCAGGATTACCCTGAGTTTGAGTCTAGCCTGGGCTAGAGTAAGACATCTCCAAAAAATAAAATAAAATAAAGAAGAAACCTGGTCAATGATGATCAGGGTTTTTTGTTTTATTTGTACAGAACTTTTTTTTTTTTTTTGCGCTTTTGAGGGATGGAAGGAGAAATCAGCTACAACTATGAAGTCTTCACATTAGACTGCTTTGAGATGAGTTCCATTACGGTAGCCCGGTAGCCCTGGCTGGCCTGGAACTATGTAGTGCAGACTGACTTCGAATTCATGAGATCCACCACACCCAGCCAAAAACACTTTATTATTCATACTAGAGGCAGTCCTTTCACTCTGAAAAAAACTTTCATGGGTTCTAAGGCCTAGGAGTCAGACCATCTATAACTGGCAGTGAAATTCACTACAAGGCACCCACAGATACCAACGGCTAGTTAACCACCTACCTCAGAGCCTACCTGGACACAGTTTTAACTGACAGCTGAATAACAAAGCTATTATTTAAAGGTGCAGCCTGGAAATCTCTAGGAAACGAGATGTTTAATCTGCAGTTCAGTAAGACACTATCACGTCAAACTCTGGCCTTTTAAAAGCTGGCAGTGCTATAATTTAAGTTGTAAATTTATTCTTTCAAAGGTCTCCCCCACATCCTATATTACACATACATGAAACTGCCATGTCTACGTAAGAACCTTCTACACCTAAAGGAGAGATGGCTCCAGCAACAATGTGAAAGGTGGCATAGAATATACTCTCTCTAGTTGGTGAAACAAGACTTTAAGCGGGTCATTGTGTAGGCTTCCATAGACTACACTGGAATTAAAAGTTCACTTTTCCCCTGTAGCACCGTCATTTCGCCCAAAAGTTATGGCTCAGATTTCAAAACGCAAACATGGTTTTGAAGTATCCGAAGTGGGCCACTCCATTTCTATTACTGGACCCGTGGTCACTCTATGAGTTATTTTGTTCCAACCCTGCGAAAGGGCAGAACCCCATCCCTTTGGCGTAAAAAATCTCAAGTGGGACAGCGCACTTTAGGAGTTTCCAAAAGTGGACGGTGACGCTGGAGGTCAGGCCACTGGGAGGAGCGGGGGCTCGACGGGAGAAATCTCCCGAGTACTGAGCTGGAGTTCTCCACGTGCCCGGATCTAGCTGCTCTCAGGGGAGTTGGTGGTTGCTATAGAAGTTAGAGGTGGTTGCCTTTCGCGGCCCTGAGGGGTGGGATGGACTTGGTGAACGGGGGTGGGGAGAGGTGGGTGCCATCTGGCTGGGCGCCCCTGGCGCCGCCAGCTTGCCTAGCACCGCGGAGGGCATGCGGCCAGAGCTGCAACCTCGGCCCGTCCCCGCAGGCCAGGGTCTCTCCAACTGGCATCGCGCCCACCTCGTCCTGCAGATGGGGGGGTCCGGCTCCGCCGGGCCCTGCCGCCATACCCCGGATGAATGGGGGTGCGGAGAGGCCTCGGCGGAGCTCGGCCTCCAGATCCGCATCCCGCTGGAGGCACAGCAGAGGGGAAGCCGTCTTAGGGGCCTCTCCTCCGCTGGAACCACGGGAGATAGGCGGCAATTACCAAAAAAAAAAAAAAAAAAAGACAGAAAAAAAGATTAAAAAAAAAAAAAAAGGAAAAAGCCCGCTCTCAAAGGCGAGGCTGCCGGGACGGTTTGAGGACTGGGCTCGGCCGGGGAGACTCCAACCTTCACCCTCGCTGGGCCCCGGACCCAAACCCCCGCCGGCTCCCGGCGCCGCCGCTTCGGGCAGCCCACTCGGCCCGGCCTCTCCCCGCGCCCGGACCACCCCCCATGGGGTGCTCTCACTGCGCAGCGAGTCCCTCCGCTGCCTCCTCCCAGCCCAAAATGGCGGCGGCGGCGGCCGCCGAGCTTCTCGTCGCCTTCCTCAAGGCTAGGGATCCCTCCGCGCCCAAGCCCCTCCCCCGCCAGCCGGACCTATTTTTCTCCCTGGTAAAGACTAACGCCATCAATGAACTCTTTAATTGAGTTCTTGACGGGGCGGGTGCGGTTGTGCTTCCGCACAGCTAGTTGTTGACAAGAGTGAGGAGATTGGCAGACGAGCGACCCAATCAAAGAAGGGCTCGGTGAGCGCGGGACGTCCACGCAAAAGCAGATAGGTTTTGGCGTTCCTGGGTATGGTTGTTGACGTAATGGGGCCGGGAAGGTAACCTGGGCAGCTTTCCTAGCGTGGAAGAACTACAACCCCCAGCAGTCACTGCGCTGCCAGCCTGTCCTCTTCGGTCCCCCATCTCCCCCCATCTTAGTGCCTGAGCGGCTTGGCCAGAGCTGCTGCTACTGCAGCAAGAGGTAGGGCTGAGGCGTGGAGAATTTCATGGACAGGAGGTCGCACAGAAAGACACACAGAGGTAGTGGTGTACATTTAAGCCCTTGACAGCAAATAGGTCAGTCCCACCTTTGCTAAAAACCTCCCTTCCATGACTATTTCCCCTCTTCCAAGAAATCCATTTTTAAAACCCCCATTTGATTTTTCCTGTCAGCTGCATGTAGTATGAAGACTTCTTTCCTCTATTTTCCCGTCCCTTGAGGCAGGGGAGTAGCCGTCCAGGCCCTGTAGACAAAAAAGACTTCAACCATAGGCGCTGCCCAGGCGGTCAAGATGGAGGGGCTTCTCGGAGCCACAGACTCACCCCATCCCCAAGCTTCCCCGAGCAGTTTCCTTTCTGCTTGACAGAGCTTAGGCCTACCTTCCTAACTGCCAGCCTAGTCTTCACTTAGTAGGAGAGGCCTGAGGCACAGGATTAGGAAGACGGTCTCGCTACCCACTTGGGTCTCGCTACCCACTTTGGCCACTTGCTGGCAGGTCGTGTGAAAACTAGGGGATTGGAAGCAGCTTCGGAATCTTCATTGAGAAGTGAAGGCGTTGCAGGGCTGGGGCCACAAAATGGCTGCTGCTGGGGCAAACAATTCCTGACCAACCAGGTTCTGCCTGAGGACTTAGGTTTCTGTTGTTGTTCATAGCAGGTGACACTAGTTAAAGGCATCTCCTGCAAGAGTAGGAGAAGATGGCCACTCTCAACCATTCCAACTGTAATAGAGAGTCACCAGGTGCTCTGGAGCAGGCGAAGGTAAGTACTCACCCCTCCTGGCCACCTGAAGCCCTAACCGTGGGGGCAAATAGCTAAAATCCTAGTTGTTTTGTTTCAAATGTGCTCTTAGATTTAGAAGGCCAGTGTTTTGTTTTATTTTTGTTTGTTTGAGACTGGAGGCTTTCTGTGTATCCCTAGTTGGCCTCGAACTTGCCTTACAAGTCCTAAAATTACAGCCTGCACCGCCACACCCGGCTTGAAAGCCAGTGTTTGTAATGAGTCTGCGCTGTGCTCTGGGAAATGGGCCAGAATGTGATTCAGTGATATCTCATGAATTCCTAAAAGCCCTTCAAGGTAGGAATGATTTCCAATTGACCGAAGCTAAGATTCGGAGGGCTGCAGTACCTTTTCCGGAATCATCCTGTACAGACTGTGAGCAAGAAAATTCCACTTTAAACTTAGAATCTTCTGATAACAGAGCCTTGCCTCTCCACGGCAAGTGACCTCAAGGACAAATAGCTTGGGTGGAGATTTGCACTCCCCCTCCCCCAGGCTGAGAAACAAGAACGAAACAGGAAAAGAGGTTCTGATCTACAGGTTAGGGGGCTGGGGGTGGGGGGGGGGCAGGAAAAACTAAGCAAAGAGAAGAGAAGGATCTTCAGTCCTCAGAGAAAGATCCTAAGTCCCGACTACTGGAGCCCGCAGGGTCCAAGCTCATGTTGTCTCTCATTGGCTCACTTTACCAATTCTCTCATCACCCACGCTCCCAAAATAGCAAAGAGAACCAAGAATCAGAAATTTGGTTTGTTGTTGTTGTTGTTGTTGGTGTGTGTGTGTGTGTGTGTGTGTGTGTTGGGGGGGTCAATTTTGCAGTGCTGGGACTTGAGCTCAGGGCCTTTCAAATGCTAGAAAAGTGCTTTATCATGGAGCTACAAGCCCAGCCCTTTGTTTTTTGTTGTTGAGTTCTAGGCCGGCTGGGAACTCACAGAGATTCACTTGCCTCTGCTTCCCAAGTGCTGCCGAGTGCTGAATGTTGGCGTTATATGTGTGAGTCACATGGCCTGGTTCAGAGAAGCCTTTCATTCTACTTCCTAGGTTCTCTTAGGTCTACTTAATTTGAAATGCATGGCATGTCAAGGCTGGAAGGTTCAGCGAGGTCAGGTGACTCATGCAGGTTACAAAGCTTCGTTTTTACAGTGATCATGGTGGTAGAGGGACAGTGCTTCAGAATGGAGACAATGGGAAAGCTGAAGGACAGAGCTGGCTTGGATTTAGGCAAGAATCCCTAGGGGACTAAGGGCTAGGAACAGGTAAATGATTGTAAATGTACAAGTAAGCCAGCCTGGCCTTGCGTTCTCAGCACTTGTCTCTCCAGGGTGCCACAGAGCCATCTTGGTTGGTCCACGCCACCAGTAAGACAAGGCCAGTCAGTCCCTCATGATTGGTGATCTTCCTGCAGGTGAAGGGATCCCGAAAACAGTTCACAACATATGTACACTGCTTGAATTCCCTTGGGATCTCTGAAACACGTACTGAGACACACCAGGCTGCTTCATGTGTGTAATCCCAGAACTCAGTAGGTTTAGGCAGGATCGCCGAGGACTGGAGACCAGGTTTAGCTACAGAATGAGTTTCAGACTACCCTGGGTTACCAAGTGAGACCCTTTCACAAGCAACCCCCCAAAATAATCCAGCAACCCATGTGAACACTCATAGAATATACAAGGCTGCAAACAGTTTGTCCCCAAAAGCAAACCTGAAAAGATGGCTCATCAGGTAAAGATGTTTGCACCAAGCCTGATAACTTGGGTTCAACCTCCAGGATCCACATGGTAGAAAGGGAAAACCAACTCCCACAAGTTATCCTGTGACCGAGACATTCACACACACACACACACACACACACACACTTACACACTCTCATACACTCAAGCCATGTCATTACGGTGTGTCTTTAAATACACCTATATAATAAGTAAAAAATAAAAATTTGAAAAGGAACCCCTGCTCAGGTGCCGTGGTGCATGAAACAACATGCCAATGATAGTGCTTATTATTAGAAATTTCCCAAACCACAAACTTAGAGCAATTAGTCCTCTATCTCCACACCCAGGACTCCCATCCTTACCACACAGATAAGCAGGTGCCTCTTGGGTGCTTGTGCTCTGTCTCTCTTCCTCCCTTGTCCCCTCCCTCCCTCCTCTCTCAAGGTCTCATCGTGTACCCTGGCTGGCCTGGAACTTGACAGGATGGCCTCAGACTCATCTGCTTGCCTTTGTCCCCCAGTGCTGGGATTGATGGTTTCTTTCCTACCTCTTCAAAGCTCTGAAATCTCTCTGTGACCTCTCTCTGGTCAGGACCTCTTGCTGCCTCTCACACAAAGAAAGGAACAACCTCGTATTTACTGGGCATAGGGGTAAAGTGACACACTCTCAGAGGATGAAGATGTATGGTGAATGGTAACATGCTGGGTGCTATCTGTGTGGCTCCCTATGTGCATGACATGATAGAGTAGCTGGAGAGGGGAGGAGGGAGAGCCACCTTTATTGGGTCTTTCAGGGAGAGCATCACTGAACAGGCAACATCAGAACTGAAGCATGAGGAATAGGAAAGGGTCAACTATGCAAAGAGCTGAAAGTAGGATTAGTCATATAATTTTCAGGGAGGGGCCAGGGAATCCCTGTTCAGGTTATCAAGTTCAACCCTTGGCCTGATAGCACACACCTATAATCCTATGTACTCAGGGGGGTGAGGCAGGTGGATTATAAATTTGAGACTTGCTTGGGTACAGAGTGAGTTCAAGTTCAGCCTGGAAAACTTATCAAGACTATTTCAGAATAGAAAAGGGCTATGAATATAGCAGAGTGACCTTGTGTCTGCTGAGCATGCGTGAGACTCTGGCTTCTATGAAGTTATTAAGTTCAGAGCTGGTTACGGTGTCATGTACCTGCTATTGGTCCCAGCTACTTGTGAGGCTGAGGCAAGAGGATAGTGAGTTTGAGGCCAGCCTGGGGTTACAATAGGAAGACCCCCAGTTTGAAGGATAGCAGAGTATTAAACCAAGTATGAATCTCTTCCGAATGTGGGTACCTGTGGAGGTGTTCAGGTAGCCCGGGCTGTCCTTGAGTCTGGCTTGAAGTCTTGATCCTCTTGCCTTCACCACCCTAATGCTGGGATTTAAGGGTATAAGCTACCACATCTGTCTTCCCTGTCATTCATTCGAATAGTACTCCAGGTCTGGTATTGTTCTGGGCAATGAAATGACCGGTGAAGAGCTGGAGGGGTAGCTCTGTTAATGGCTACCCAGCATGCATGAAGCGTTGGGTTTGAGCCCCAGCACTGCCTAAACCAGATGTATGGTGGTACATGTCTGCAATCCAGCATTCAGGAGGTGGAGGCAGGCAGATCAGAAGTTCAAGGCCATCTTTGGTAGCACAAGTGAGTTCAAAGCCAACCTGATTTATGGAAATGCTACCTAAAAAGAAAAAAAAAAGGAAAAATGAAATGACCAATGACAATGAAATACTCAGGTGAGGTGCTTTTCTCCCCACTGGAAGAAAGGCAGTAACTAAGGGAATTGGTGTAAAAGGGTGAGGGTCTGGATAGACACCAGGTGAGGCAGGTGTGAGAGGGCAGGCTGGGCTGGGAAGGACTCTACTCCCAGGGAAAGGCTGTCTGATCCACCCTCCTTCCTCTCTCTAGACCTCTCGTGGTCTGCGGAGCCCCCAGGTAGCCCATGAGCCTCATGACTTTGGCGGGTCCTTGCTTCTGCCACCAGGAAGGGAGATGCACTCAGATGAAGGTGTTGCTCCAGCTGGCGGTGGCTCGAGCTGCAACATTAAGGGTTCCCGCAGCCAGAGCTCAGGGGGCTGTTCAGTGGAGGCGGCGCTGGCCCGAAAGAAGCACCGTAGGCGGCCGTCGAAGCGCAAGCGTCACTGGAGGCCTTACTTGGAGCTGAGCTGGGCTGAGAAGCAGCAGCGAGATGAGAGGCAGAGCCAGAGGGCCTCCCGGGTCCGCGAGGAGATGTTTGCCAAAGGCCAGCCCCTGGCACCCTACAACACCACCCAGTTCCTCATGAATGACCGTGACCTGGAGGAGCCTAACCTGGACGTGCTCCATGGGCTGTCCCACACGGGCTCCAGTGGGGAGAATGAGGCAGGGGACAGTGACGGGCAGGGCCGAGCCCATGGGGAATTCCAGCAGAGGGACTTCTCTGAGGCCTACGAGCGCTACCACACCGAGAGCCTTCAGGGCCGCAGCAAGCAGGAGCTGGTGAGAGACTACCTGGACCTAGAGAGGCGACTGTCACAGGCTGAGCAGGAAACTCGGAGGCTCCAGCGGCTGCAGGGGCGCCCCGGCAGGCAGCCCTGTCAGCAGGTGGAGGAGCTGGCTGCCGAGGTGGAAAGGCTCCGGACTGAGAACCAGAGGCTTCGGCAGGAGAAGGAAATGTGGCACCGAGGGGGCAGCTGCTGCGACCAGGAGAAGCCTGCCACAGAAGGGACCCCAAGACCCCAGGATAAGTCCCCATGTCACAACCACTCAGGCCAGCCGGGTCACAGGCAGGCAGGTGACAGCTGAAGGCTACTCGTGGCACCCCTGCCCTGCTGAGAACTGCTAAGGCAAGGTCAGAGTGTCCCCTGTCATTTCCACTGTTGCCTCTTTGATGTCACCTTACTTTTTACAGAGCAATTAAATGGCCTTGTGAGACCCGCCGAGAGTGGCTAGAATTGATTTCATCAGGGCTCTTGAGACTCAAAAGCCTTTCTTATTTTTAAAAACTTACTGTGTATCACATGTGTGCAGTACCAGTGGAGGCCAGAAGAGGGGTTGGATCCCCTTGGGATGGAGTTGCAGACAGTTGTAAGTTGCCATGTGGGTGCTAGGAACCGAACTTGGGTCCTCTAGAACAACAGCGAGTTGCCCTTAACCACTGAGCCATCTCTCCCGCCGTCTTCACTTTTCTAATGTTTGTTTGTATCTTGGAAGAGTTTCAGACAGCTGAGGCTGGCCTTGAACTTCTGATCCTTCTGCCTTCACATCCCGAGTTTTGGGATTGGAGGTGTACACCACTTTGCCTGGTTTATGTTGTGTAAATCAAACTCGGGGCTTTGTGCGTTCTAAGCAAGAGCTCTCCCAGCTGCAGCACATCCCCTTCTGTTGGGGCTGAAGAGATGATGGATGGGTCAGTGGTTAAGAGACCTTGCCGTTCTGTTGCAGGACTGCAACTACAGGTGACTCACAACTGTCTGGATCTCTAGTTCCGGAGGATCTGATGCCCTCTTCTGACCTCTGTGATATATACACACATGTACATACATATACACAGAGACACAAAATCTTTAAAAAAAAGAAAAGAAAAAAACTTGGTTGCTGGAGATAAAGGTTTAGTGATACATTTGGCCAGCATTCTAGAAGCATGGAGTGAGCTCATTGTCCCAGAGAGGTCTCAGTCTCTCCTTACTCTAAGCCTGGGGAGACAGCCAGCTTCTAGATGGGACCCCATTGGTTCTCCAGGATACCCATCCTGCAGTGAGGGAGTTAGAGGTGGGGGGAAGATCAGGAGCCCCCAGATTCAGCTAGAACCCGCTATTCCTGTTGCCACATGATAATGGGCCTGTAATTTCAGCCTTTAGACAGGAGGACCACAAGTTCCAAGCCAGCTTGTGTTACAGATTGACCCTCCTGGCAGAGCAGGAAGCCCCCTTGGGAGGAGAAGGCCCAGGCCTGGAGTTTGTTCAGACCTTGTTTCCAGGCTCCCTGGATTCTCACTACAGTTCAGAGAACCGAGCCTCCTTGATCTTGACAATCCCTTACCCTGGTGTCCAACGTAGGCTAGTCATTATAGTTTGTCCCCTTACCTCTGGGAGGGATGAAGTAAGCACCCAAGGTCCGCCGCTGCCCCATAAAGCCATAAGGTAAAAGGGACAGGGAGTGGATCCTTAGCAGGGCTTCTCTGTATCTGCTGCCTGTCTTCGCACCCTCCTCCTGTTGGCCTGATTTTGATCAATTCCCTGTGAACTATGAGCCATGGGCCCTACTCCACAGTGGAGTGGAGGGAGTCAGTGCAGAGAATACAGAGATGCGGTGTGCCACCTCCACCAGATGCTAACCCCGTGTCCTCTCTGGCTGGTACTGAGTAACTTGAGTGGTAACGGGGAATTTAGCTCACCAGTGAGCCCCTGTCTCTGGCACCAGGCACAGAGAGGAGCATAGACTTGAAGGACCTGGACTACTCTCCCTTCCAGAGGTTTGGAACAACCACACTGGGCAAGAGAAAGTCTCAGCACTGGGAACTGTTAGGATGGAAATGTTGACAAACCCCGTGCATTGCCAGGACAACTTTTATTTCTGTACTGCCACACCCAGGCCTGGCCAGCACCTTCTACAACAGACTGACAACAGACTGGAGGGAGGGATTGGTTTCAAGGGAAAGCAAAGCCCCAGGCTGAGGGATCTGTCCCCAGAGCCCTGGCCAAAGATTTTGCCTTCTTTTGTATTCCTAGACTGTTGTCAAGAACCCCAGCAGGAAAGACTGTCCCCGCTTTGCAGATGGGAAGCCCCAGGTTCAGCGGGGAAGTGACCGTCCAGATTCCAGGATAGCTTGTCAGGGGCCTGTTGTGTATTAACTAGCCTGGGACCCAAGGGCTGCAGCCTCCCAGCTGCTGCATTCCTCAGAACAGAGCTAGGAGGGAGCTGAGGGAGGTCCAGGACAAAGTTGTTTACCCAGAGGCAAGGCTCTGCTCCTAAATGTGTAAGTGTGTGTGTGTGTGTTTATGTGGGAGGTGTGTAGAGGAGGGTGTGGGGGGTCCATGTGGAGCATGATTGCAAATTGCTGGGCAAAGGGCAGGCAGGTGAGGAGGCTGGCCCCTCTTGGTTCGAGAGCTGAGGACTGTGAGGAGGAAGGAAACCAACCGACAGCCACCTCCACCCCTTACACAAAATGGCTGAAGGGCTCTTGGCCAGGACAGCACAGAGGTGAATTAATTTCCCCAGGGCTGGGGAGGTGGGGGAATGACAAATGAACAGGGTGGAGCAAGGAGAAAACAAAGCAAAGGGTGATCTGGGGAAGGGTCAGGCCTGTCGGAAGGGAAGGGGTCAGTGAAGAAAGTCACGTAGGCTCTGGCCTCCAGCTGGTCCCCCAATCTCAGGGTCAGCAGTGTCAAGACAGGAAGTCATCTTGAGAGCTCAGTGCCAGGGAGAGATGGAGGGCAGGTGTGAGTCCCTTTCAAGGGCCCTCCCACTTTCCTTCTGCTGGTCTCCCTTTGGCAGCCAGGTTCTGAGGTCTGGACTCTTGTGTTCCATCCAGTGTGGGAGAGATGCCGCTTCCTCACAGTCACAGCTGGAGGTCACTGGCTTTCATAGCAGAGCTGGGTAGCTTACTTTCCTTGGATCTCGAGGCCCAGAAAGCAATTCCTTCGTGGGACTGATGGTGGAAGCTTCCATGCCTGCTTGCCTGCCTGGCCGGATCTCTTTTTTTCCCTCTATCAGGGACTCTCTCACCCCAGGTGGCAATTCCAGTACCCATAAGTAGATAACTTCCTGCAAATAGGATCAGGTATGAAAAGATGGTGAAATGGGCAGAGGTAATGAGGTGGGCCTAGAGGGAAGCATTGCAGATCCAAGAAAGTAACTCAGTATGGGGAAAAAAGTGCCTGGTTCTGTTGTCCCTCTTGAGAACAGTAAGGTTGGCACTGGCCCTTTAAGTGGGGGTGCCAGCCAGTGCCCTCCCCCAGCCAACCCAATTCATGGGCACACTGAGCATGTGCAAGGTCTGTGCAAGTGAGGGGAGGAGGTTGGGGGTATAGATTCCGGAGGGAGCTTCCCACCCCCTACTTCCTGTAGCTGCCCACTCTCCTTCCTGGGTCTGACAAAGGAGCCCATGATGCTCCTTCAGTCCTTCCCCCGCCCACCACCCCAAACTAGAGGGCGCTGCCCTTTGGGTCTGCTGAGCTACCAAGGGTTCTGGGCAGGCCCTCTGTTCTTGAGAAGTGTCCCCAGTGCCTGGAGATGGCGATTGCCAGCCTGACTTCTCAGGAGTGGGTGGTGGCCAGTCTTCTGGTGCTTAACATGTTCGATTTCATTCCATCAGTGCCAGGGTTTTGAAGAGAACCCTGTGATGTTGCTCTGGAAATGAAACACAGAGCAAAGGGTGAGGTCCCTGCCCCCACCCACCAGGAGTTTCCAGTCAGGGCGGGGAAGCAGACACCTGGGGCTCTGCTTAGAGCCTCTTAGCCTGGTTTAGGGGATGGAACTGGGCTTCCTCTACCTGTAGCATCCAGCATCTTCCCCTGCCATGAGGGAAATCTACCCCCAGCCCCCAACCTGTTTCTGTAGCATCCTCTGCCCCTCCTCTGCAGTCGCTATCCCTACCCCTTTCTCTAGTCTTTAGGTACTTTAGGTACCATTATCTTTTTGTCAGAAACAAGGGCCATGCTGTGGCTGTGGCTCAGTTGGTAGAATGCTAACTTAGTGTGCACAAAGCCCTGGGTTAGGCCCTCAGCAGCACATAAAACCTGGGATAGTAGCTGATCCTTGTAAGGATTAGAAGGTCAAGGTCATCCATCTCAGTGAAACCCTGTCCCCAAAAAGCAAAGATACAGGGATGGAGAGATGATGGCTCAGTGCTTAAGAGGGCTTGCTGCCCTTCCAGACGACCAAGTTCAGATCCTAGCACCCATGTCCAGTGGGTCATAGCTGTTTGTGCTTCAGCTCCAGGAGGTAGATCTGACACCCTCTTCTGAGCCCTGTGTTTTCTCTCTCTCTCTCTCTCTCTCTCTCTCTCTCTCTGTCACACATACATACACACACAGAGCAGAGATACATGGTAAACTTCTATAACATGAAATGTGCCCTTCAAATGAGCAATTCAGTGGCATTTCCATTCATAATTTGCATCCCAGCACCCCAGTGCTTTCCGATTCCACAGAAATGAAATGCTGAAGCTATTAAACAGTTATTCTCTGCCCCAGTCCCCCTTCCCTCAGTCAGCCACACACCTGCTTTCTGTGCTTCTGGGTACCCTGAGCCTGGGCAGATTCGAAGATGGGTCTACAGCCGTACCACCCTGATGCCAGTCTCTTCCCCTGTCCGTCTAGGCCAGATACCCATACCCCTTCCCCAAAGTATAGTCTCCCTGTGGGTGCTATTGAGGGAGGAGCACTGGGCCAGGAGTCCTCAGATCCCCGATTGCTTCCAGTTCTGTTGGCAGGGACTACTTTCCTTATTTGTGAGGTGCAGGCGGGAGTTGCAAGCCAGGTTGCCCTCTAGGCAAGGCTCTGCTTCCTGACTAGTAAAATATATCCCCCATCTTTTATTCTTCCGGGCCCTCACTGCAAGTTCCGGCAGTGCCTATGGCCTCAGGGACCATGCGATTCATACTGTAAGGTCTGGAGGCAGTCCCTTGATGTGAGGTGAGGGAGCCTTAGCACAGAGAGGTTGAGAAAGGGGCCCAAGGCCACACCCCCTGGTACAGGGATAGCTGGGGTTGTGGGCAGTTCTTTCTGGTTCTGGTTTGAGCACTTGATCCTCTAGTGTTCCCCTTTCTTTAGGGAGAAAGTGCAGGTTGAGGTCTTTAGCCGACTGCCGGCTGTGTGGGCAGTGTTTTAGTGGGAGAGCCCATACATTTTACTACTCTCTAGGCATTGCATAATCGCGAAGCGCTCCATTTCCAAAGTGGTTCTTGGGAGCTCTCTGACTCCCTCAGTCCCTTATC